GCGGGCCCTTCTCGGATATACGTAAACGTACGATTAATCGAGTGGATTGTGATATCGGAAATTGACGAGGGCTTAATCCGAGGACGGACGAACGTATCGCGATACAAGTTGTAAGCTGATTGAAAAATGTCAAGCGGATTGTCGGACACGATTAAACGCACTTGCGTGTCTCCGATCGATGTCTCGTCGTCCGTTATTCGTTTTAAGGATAAAAGCGAGGTCAGGTCGATCGCCAGTCAGAGAGACCTTGACTCAGTGGCCGTACTCAGTGGCGAGTGCGCACGCGTTTGATTTCACCTTCTCTCTCTCTCTCTCTCTCTCTCTCTTTCCTCTCTATCTCTCTCTTTCTATCAGTCTGACGGCAATAAGCCTGGACGGAACACAGAGTAGATATCCGCGCGCCGCCACTAGGCCCCTCTCTACTACTGTTACTACTACGTTTACGCTTGCTACCCTCTTCCCTCCCCTCCTGCGCGATCGTTCGTATACGCCTACGATACTCCACTCACGTGTACGACACGATTCTCCTACGCAACGCAATTAATGAATACGTCACGAAGAGGTCTGCGCCCGACGCTCAATTCCCTGACCTGGCCTCCTACGCTCGACGAGAAGGTAAGACCCTCGGGCGATTTGGAATAGGAGATTAGAATAATCTCATCACTCCGACGATCGATTACCAAAGACGTCTCTGTTTACGTGCTTGAATGAAGAACTCGAATGCGATTGTCGTTCGTGTGTATCTTCGTTTTATCGTTTACGCGATTGTTATTAACCGCTGGGAATTAGCGCTCTCTGTGAAGGTTATTAATTGCCCCATTTTTATTATATATACAAGCAAAAGCGTTGTTCAGGGTTGCCACGTAGCCGCGGCTATTAGTATGCATAACAGTATTTCTTTTTTTTTTCGCGCATCTTATTTCAGAGCTTCGGCGTCGTCAGAATAAATAACGAGAATTTCTTAATTTTTTTCCGCCGGGAAACTTTATTGACTATTAAAAAATTCAAGGGAAGAAGAGAAAAAAAAACGCATGTATTAAATAAATTCACCTCGATCGCGAGGGAGCGGAAACAAATTTAATTCGATTAAAAATTCATCGTTTAAAGGACATAGTTTGTACATGCCCTCGATGTAGTCGGCAGTCATCGGAAAGAGGGAGAGCGCGTCGCATCTTGAAAAAACTTTTACGATATGATTGATAACACGCTATCGGTTTTCTAGTCGAGTATAATGGATGCTTTAACACCTGGTTCGTGTTATGAATAATTATGTAATTTGCGGCGAAATGTCGGGAGATCCTACCGCGGAGTATATCGATCAGACGCCACAATTATCCGATATCAACGTACGCGAAACTGTGCGGGGAATCTCATTTCCTCGTATGACATAAAATAAATTATTACGTGGCCGGATGTATACAGGAATAGAATTCCTCGTAATCTCGTTTCTCCACGTTCGGAAATTCTTTCACGATCCCTTTTAGCATTGGCGCTTTACATTGTTTATATATGCGGTCGGACATACTAAATAACCCAATGGCTACAGATATACAAAGTGGAAAAGGTCAAAGGATGCGCCGAGATAACGGGGAACGCGCATCCCCGTCCTTGAAAAGACCGAAACGTTCTAGTTGCACAACGGTCGCTTTCCAAAGTTTTAAAGCGCACGAGCTGTATCTAACCCTGCAAATTACCATAATCGGGTTTGCAGCATCGATTACGCGAACTATGTGGCCGAACCTCCGTTCACGCTACCTTCAAATTCGTGCTGCCAAGGGCTATGCGCCCGCAAGAATCATTTTTTCCCCGCAATACTTTAACCGCGAGTATGTAAATTAGGAATTTTTATCATTGTCAGATAAGCCGTACATGTAAAGCGTACGAAAATTCGTTACTCGGGTTCGCGTGTTTATGTTCGTCCAACTGTTTATATTCGCCACACTTTACCGAAGTTTGGCCGAATACGAATAAACGGTCGGGAGAAAACGTGTGACACCTACAGAACTTCAACGTTACGAAAGAATCGAACAAGTTCAAGGTTCACTTTATACGTTGAAACTATAACGACCATTTGACCTCTGCGTCCCTAGAGCTACACGGCGGAAATGTGTCGATGAAGAACACTCGATGAAATCGGAAACTATGTCAAGTGTCCTTGATAAAAGAAGGAGAGGATGAGGCAGAGAGAGAGAGAGAGAGAGAGAGAGAGAGAGAGAGAGAACTATAAGAGAGTGGTATTGCAGATTCTAGAAATCGTGAACTGAACCGAAGAAGTTTCTCGTTAGCTTCCAAACGAAAATCAGTTAAGGTAATCGAATCTTTTCTAAAGGACCTCTCATCTTCTTCTTTCATTCGGCTTAAGAAATGTAGTTTCGCGCTTAATTTCGTGCTTGCGTTTACGAGGAGGCTTCGAGAGATAGCGTTTATCTAGGAATGCGCGACCCTTTGCTGACAAATGGCGCCTTATCTCGGCGATGCCGCCTTTTCATCGGTCCAGCGAATTATTCGACCCTTCGATAAGGGAGAGAATAAAGTTTGGGCACGGATCTCGAGTACCGCGCGCTCTTATTTAAGCAGACGGCTTAACTCCGTCAAACTTATTCCGAGCTGTCTTATCTCTGGCCACGTTCAATTTCGAGAGCAATCCGACGTAATCGCTAATCCTTTGTCGATCCTGTCCTCCTAGAAACGCGACGTTACCTCGTCTCGTTCCTCGACTCGAATTTCTGAAACGTTCTGCGCGATTCTGAAGAATCCATGTTAGATTCAAGATAGAGAAATAGCTTTTCGTATTTATATACCTTCGTGTATGGTCGATCGGAAAATATTTCCCCTCGTTTCTTTTGACCGATATGTCAAATTCACGATATACTTGAAGTTTCTGGGAAAGTATCGATTGCAGTCGCTATATCTATCGCTATTCGTCGACACGGCGGGCGAACTTTTAGCGTTTTCGCGTGCCTCAGACACATCGACCGGCAACTTCCAAAGCGATCGTTAAAGTAGCGGTACCCTCGAACGATTCTTATAGGCGCCGTTCGAGAATCATGCAATTTGCTGGAATTTGCATTTTTTCTCCAAGTCTCATCAAAGTTACCCGGGGGGGAATCATAATTGCTTAACATTATAACGTCCTTAAGAATTTTTTTGCATCTTCGTTTTCAATGGGAAAGAAACTGATATTTAATACATCACAGTTTATCATCGCGTCTTCCCTTAGATATTATTTGATTAATTTAAAGTCATCAATTTTAAGACAAAGTCGAGGATAAAAGTTGGCCTCGTTGCTGTAAGAATTATCTTCCAATCCTATTTTCCATCCTCTTAGAGAGAAACGCGACGTTTGCATTTTCAACTTTTTAATATCCTCTTTACCCTAATTCTTCATTTCCATGCATAAGATTATCTTATCCATCTCCGACAGTGCTCGCTTGTCAAAAAAATAGCAATTTTCGTCTAGTCTCTAGGAGAATAGATGGCGAAATATCCGGATATAGCGCGGTCTTATTCGTCCTCCTTCCTGTCTCTCTTTTTTCTCGATGAATAGAATGTAATTTCACTTCCGTCGCTAATTCCCTCCTTTTCTCCTACGGCTCGCCGTGTCGTGGGAGGTTACGCAAGCGAAAGAATGTCACGAGTTACATCACATGCCCCGTGCCATGCATTCGACATATCGATTCATCCCCCATCCGTGACTCGACGTGACGCGACGCGACGTGTGTCCTTGTTATTTCGTGCAACGGTCAGACGGTCGCCAGACTGACGTAGATGAAAATAGGCAGGCGCATTTAGAACAAACGTGGAAATCGACAGCCGAGCGACCTCCGTCGAAGCACGCCGGCTTTGATCGATATGCATTCTTGCGATGACGATACATTCAAGGTCAGCTATATCGAAGATCGACCCCAATTTTTTTGCATTTTCATTTTATTCTTACGTCTCGCACTTATTTTATAGCTCGTGTCTCGTGACGTTCAACATCTTTTAATTCGTGATAAAGTTTTGTGTGCGCCCCACTTATCGCGCTGGCCCTTGATTGTCTTTTTATTACTTTTTTTATGATACATTCAGGTGAGCCGTTAGAAATTTTTTATTTTACATTTTATACATTATTATATGTACACAGGGATGCATCGTATAATAGGGACAGATATAATGTGATAATGCATAGATCGTCGTTCCCGTGTTCCCAGATAGAACGTCGCGATATATCAACGAGCGTAATGGTACACGTGTCGTAACGTCGTAGATGAATGGATATGCGTGTTTATACACCGTTGTGCATCGTCGCGTCGGTTTTTCGAAGAATGCACCGGCGAACAAAAGTCTGAATACATATAGCTGATAAGAATAATCGTTTCGTGGAAATGAAATTTCTGCTTATTCATGAGAAAGAGACAGAGGGAAAGAGAGACGTAAATATAACAGACTGGAGGACATATAGAACATAAATCGATATCGTTTCTCGAGGAACGTAACATTTATAGTCCTTTAGAACCTATCGACCTTAATATCGACGGACGTAACAATATATATAAATCGATACGCCGTGCATTTTGTCGAAGCTTGAGAAATGCGCGCGATTCGAAGGAATAAGATATATTCGAAGTGCACCCTTACGCACGGAGCTTTTAACAATACTGCGAACCGGGAGTTTGGAATGAGAAAAGTTGCTATTCACCTCGCCGAGTGATTCTATTTACGCACTGTATGTACAAGTTACGAGCTGTGCAACTGGGTCGCCGAGAGGCGTCTCTGAAAGGCGTTTGATTTCCCATAACATCGTTCTAACGATTGTCCCTTAAGATGCAGCCGTGATTATTATGTATTAAGCGTAGTTTAAAATTATCGCGTAATTATTCAAATTATTCGTGCATAATAGAATAATAACTTAAACATTTAATTACAGTGCATGTGTGTGCGTAATGGATTACATTTTCGCGAATAAGATTTGCAGTTTAAGCGCTTTCTCTAACGATGTGTGCTTTGCGTGGTTTCAGAAACTCCGAAAATGTGAACGTCTAAAGAAAGGCAGATGCTCAACAAGGCGCGGCCTCGTCAAGAGTGGTCTCCTCAATCTCCCATAGATGTCTTGTAAGTATTAAAAATCACCCTGAAAAGCTGCGCGAGATAATATATTTCGCTATATTCCGGTTCGTCCGACTCGATTACATCGAGATCGTATCCGGGAGCTCCGGATATGTAATTAGATGATTAAAGTTTCCGCTTATGTTCTCCCGACGAGAAAATTGCCAGTTCTCTCCGCGTCCTTCTATTAAATTAGATGAAGTAATATTCAATTTTCGCGAAACGGAAGATTGTTTGTCTCTGTTTTCTTCTTATTTTTAAATTGCCGTTTTTAAATTCTCGTAATTCGGGAGCGTCGGATCCCGAGCAAAGTGAAATCAGCTTCGTGCCTATGGGATTATGAGATATTAAAGCGCTAAATTTAGTTGGCCGTATAATTATACGTTGATGCGCTACGACGATAATGAGTAAATAGCGCGGTCGTATTCGATGGCGAGGAGAACGGACACCCCTGGCAGGGGTCACAACGACGCGGAGGGCAATTCTGGAAATTGCAATTTGTCCGGATAACACGGGGCCGCGTATTTCCCACGGAAACACCTCGACTCTGCCGCGCTGCGCCTCGGCACAAAGCAAATTTTAGCGAGAAAACTTGCGCGTCAAAACTCCCGTCGTGGCAACGAGGGTGCTCGGCTCGACTATATCGCGAATGTTGTTTCGAGCGTTCTCCAAATAAAGGTATAATATTAAAACATCTGTGAGAAATACATACGCGCGGAAAAGTCTCGTTCGCGGCATCAACCATCCGTGTACTTACGGATACGGAAAATTGTACAAGGAAGCGCACACTGCCGCATATAAATATCTCCGCAATCTCTCGCGAACGTGCAAAGTTTTCCAAGATTCTCGAACGGAAAGGAGAAGGAGGCGAAAAAGGATAAAGGCGAGGCGATTTCGTTACCAACGACACGACAGATTCGCTAATTGCAACTCGGGTTGCAATTAAGACCGAACGTTGAGACGAAAAATATATACTTGTTCTATTACTCTCTCTCTCTCTCTTTCTGACAAAGCAATGAGAAACCAATAATGATGTAACGCGATGGATTAAGGCTATCGGCGATAAACGTTAGAGGAGCCATTACGTCGGAATACAAAATGCAGCCACATCAAGTTTAGATTGCGCTCTGTCTCAGGGGTACCGACCTTTCTGCATCATTTATAGCGAATCGATCCTCTGGTCTTCCGTCCCTCCTTCCTTCGCCTACGTCTCGTTTCACAAGTTCGTTAGCTATTCGAACTTTAAGAGCTCGCGACTACGACTAGTTTCGTCACTTGTGAATTCCGATTCGTTCCGTGCTTCATCCTCCGCGTGTAACTTTTACCACGAGATCTTTATTCGCTCGGGAACATCCAATTTACATGCCTGTTGCACTAATTCTGTAAACGCTTCAGTTAAGATGACAAATGCAATTTGGAACAAGTTGGAGCGTGCGAGAAAACACGTCTAATTTCGCTTCTTTTATTATCCATCTAGACTATATTTCGAGAGCGATAATAACTGCGAGGAAATAACGTAATTATAGTCTATATTATAATTAGAATACACACATCGAAGAGAGAGAGAGGGTAAAAATATCTAAAATTTAAAATATATCATCCAAGAGATATAGCTCAAGAGTTTAATCGTGCCCTGATGAAGACCCATTATTTTTCGCTCGCGCGACAGCATGCGGGCCGATGATTTATCATTCTCTAAGAGAGAGAGAGAGAGAGAGAGAGAGAGAGAGAGAGAGAGAGAGAGAGAGAGAGCCACGAAATCTTAAACGGTTCGCGGTAAACGTTGGTAAATCCACCGACACCGATCGATACTTTTGAGCCCGCATTCAATGGTGAACGAAATTAGCAAGCGCGGCATTGACAACCGCTTTGTTCGTCCGTCACGCGATAAATTTGCACCGGTAACCGTAGCGTTTCGTGTAAATGCCAATCAGCTGCGCATAATTATCAGTCACGAGCCACTGCGGTGGTTCTAAATTGTTTCGAATCCTTCGAAATGGGCGAAAAACAAGTGTTCTACGCCGTAAAATAATCAATTAATCTTAGACATTTGTCGGGAGATGAATTCCAATAAATCAGACTTGAAGTTGTAATGGCCTGCAAGTTGGATTAGAGTACCGCGCACATCCGCCCTGCACGTTACACTGTAATAATCGACGATCACGGCGGGGTTTAATCATTCCTGCCTCGCCTCGACGAGGAAAGAATAAATTAGAGACACCGTCCGTAACTAACGGCGTTGTTGCGTGCCAAGAAAGAGGGAAAAACGAGGGAATAACACGATTGCCCTTTGAAAACTGAGCGGATATCTTTTTGATCGCGTATGAAGATGAGGGGAGAAAAGGAAGAGCGGGACAAGACGGAATACACTTTGAATATATCTGAAATAACGACGTTTCTTCGTGCTTGTCGCAGGTGGATGTCCCGCTCCGCCATGAGGCCGGCCGAGGGTGACGCATCGTCAGATTGCATCTTGATAGTCGGCGTATCCAGGTCGAAGATGGCCGTCGCTTTCCTGTCGGTCGCCCTGCTATCCCTCTTCCTCACCTTCCACATACTTTACGACAGCGCCGTTTACAGCCTCCACGCGGTCTCCGCCGTCGAAGGACGCACGGTCGAGCTGGTCTCTCAGGTACGTGTCTCTCCGACTAGAATTCCATATCGCGTTAATGTCTCCAAAGACCTTCACGTATGGTCTGCCACTACTGCGGTGATTTATGGCAGGTACGCGCGACGCCGCCGCTCCTCTTCTCCACCTCGAAGGTACACTTCCCGCGAACGAATCGCCATCTCCCTCAGGCCATCATAATCGGCGTACGCAAATGCGGCACGAGGGCGTTGCTGGAGATGCTCTTCCTTCATCCGCAGATACAGAAAGCGGCCGGTGAAGTTCACTTCTTCGATCGCGACGACAATTACGGGAAGGGTCTGGAATGGTATCGGCGAAAGATGCCCTACTCCTTCAAGGGGCAGATCACCATCGAGAAGAGCCCGAGTTACTTCGTGACCCCCGAGGTGCCCGAGAGGATTCGCGCGATGAACGGCAGCGTCAAGCTGCTGCTGATCGTGCGGGAACCGGTTACCCGAGCTATATCGGACTACACGCAATTGCGCACGCACGCCGCGACCGCGTCCACGTTAATCAACAACGGCACGCCGCAACTGCAGCAACAAACGGCGCGCACTTTCGAGGAGCTCGTTATGCGACCCGATGGTACGATTAACGAATCCTACAGACCGGTGGCCATCTCTCTCTATCACACTTACATGCACCGCTGGCTGGAGGTGTTCCCCAGGGAGCAGATCCTCATAGTGAACGGTGATCAATTGATCGAGGACCCGGTACCGCAGCTGCGCCGAATCGAGAATTTCCTCGGGCTCGAGTCGCGCATCGGCCGGCACAACTTTTACTTTAATCACACCAAAGGTTTCTACTGCCTGAGGAACGAGACCTCGGAGAAGTGTCTGAAGGAGAGCAAAGGGCGCCGTCATCCGCGCGTCAGTCCGATGGTCGTGACGAAGCTGAGAAAGTTCTTCAACGAACACAATCAACGCTTCTACGAGCTGGTCGGCGAGGATCTCGGTTGGCCGGAGGAATAACCATCGTGGAGAGCACCGACTCGTTCGTTATCGACGCGGGTCGCGCGCGCATCCAGCGACGAGCACGATCGTTTAACTAAAATCGAATGTCCTCCCCTCACCGAAGAAGAGACGCCATTACCGATCAACGGTGGACTCGACCGCTGCAAGCCGAAAAGAAGATTCCAACTGACGTTGTCGATGAAGATTCTTCGGGATTACATCGTTCCCATCAGCGATACCTCACCTGATCTCTTCGGGGACACCGACAGGATAAGTAGTTTATTTATTGAAATAGTTCATTTAGCCCCTTGTTTTCGAGAAAGAGATATAATGGGCTGATGCTTGACGACGAGAGCATCAATGGATGCACGCGAAAACAGCGTCTTGTTATTGCATTATCAGTGTAAAGCGTACGCGTACAATGATGCGAGAACGCTTACGTTGGCAACCGGCAACGTAGTAGACGGGGTAAGCACACAGGTGAGAATCGCGTGTACAGATACACGATTTTTGCTTGTGTGCTCACTTCCTCTGTTATGTTGCCGGTTGCCAGTGTAAACATTCTGGCGTCATTACGCGTATACAAAGACACGCACACATGAAAGTACACGTACACATACATACACATATATACACACACAAAGTTACAATAACGCCGGCCAAAATAAAGTAGAGACGCGGATCCGCGAGACAAACTACAATCGCTTCGTGGATCCACGAGGCATGCGGATCACATTGGTCCGTGACTTTACATATCAATTTTACATATCGATAGTTTACATATCAATAGGTTAACTAGTTCGTACGACAAAGATTGAATATTTTTATAATCCACATTGGAAGTTGTTATATCGCTTATGTCGTTAAGGATATTACATAACGCGAGAGATCTCTCGCGGTGATCCAAAAGATCGAAAGTCTTATTGCGCCTCGCGCATGCACGATCCACTATCATAGAAGATGAAGCGAAAGACGAGGAGGGAATGGGAAGAATAGGGGGGTAATCGAGAAGGGTAGGGGGGTACGAAATAATTACGCCAATTCGCTTTTTTGCGAATCGAAAGCAAATCGAAAGCTCGGGCTTTTATTTTTCGCCGTCTCTCCAATTTTATTTCTTTCCTCTCGCGGAAGAACGCGAACGTTCTTCTCCATCGTTCTCTGACACTGGATATCGGCGCAAGCGTTCCTCTGGGAACACGAAGAGAAGTAGGGTGGAATCCGACCAACCGCGAATAAACTCGTCAACGGTTCGAGAGAGGCTACACCGTAGAAATCTTGATAATCGATTATTTTCCAAATCCCGATAGAGAGCTTGTAAACGCGCGCATATAACATTTTACATACACATGTATCAGTAATTTTTATCGAAAGAGAGATCGAAGCGAATGGCTGCGTTCAGCAGGAAAAGCTACTTTGCAACTGTTGTAAAATTCGTGAAATTCTGATTGGTGTATGCTCTTAGATTCAGCCAAAATTAAGGGCATACACCAATCAGGCTCACGAATTTTACAACAGTTTTACAACAAGGCAGCTTTTTTTGCTGAACGCAGCCATTGTCACGCGAGCGATAAGAACAACGTGGCGGAAATGTGTCAACATTATCTCGACGTTTTTGCCGAAAGAGTTGTGAATAATTACGCGAGTAATTAATAATTCGGCTTGACGTCGACGAGAATGATGAACGCCGCGAGATGGAAATTGAGATAAACGCCCTGCGGAGTCTGTTCGCGGATTCTAAGATGAAGACGTGTTAAACCTCACGATGACAAATTATGTTGCAGCCGTTTACGCTCTCGAGTAATTTTCGAGCAGAAATTTACATCTTTTTTTTCACAGACTTCAGGCAAGAATGACCGTTGATAAGAATCATTGGGTGCATTCGGAAGCATTGGTTTCTACGTTTGAATTCACCAGTTCACATTCGATTGCTACTTGACCGCTCGGTGAGCGGTTGTGCTTCTGGATGCACCCATTGCGACGATTATTAACATAATCACACGCATCTACAATCATTGAGAACAGGAGCGGGATAAAAGAAGCGCGAGAAACGACAGCTTGTTGCTCAACGACAAGTTTTTCTCTCGGAAGGATACGACGCCATAAATAATCCGCTTTACGGCGCAAGTGAATCGTGCATGCGCGACAAAGTGCATCGTGCGTTAATTCGTGCGATAAATACGCGGTCGCTTAAAGCTCCGATTCAGGCGGCCGGAGATCTCGGGAGTAATTCGCGATTCGAAGCCGAGTGCGTCAATTTCCCTCGCGCTACAGATAAGGAACACGACTCCTAATGTTTGACATCCTTGCGAACGGGTTCAAACCAACCGAGAAAATTCTGTTTGCGACGATTAAATTACTTTCAGCGAGAAGAGAAAATGTTTATCTATAGCACACTGCGAGAGACGACTAGACGAACCTAGTTTTTATTTATAGCCATTTAAAAGTCAAGCTTCGCTTTATCCCGACCCCGTTAATTATCTCGTCTCCGCAAATTTCCTTAGCCGCCGCAAGTTACACGTGACTCGATGATCGGTTCCTAAAGTTCCCAAACTCGACAATCTCGACAACATTAATTTCTGGTCCCGAGCGACTCAAAGAGAATCGCTTCGCTGATTTTCCTCTTCGCGCACGCGCTTCGATCTAATTTTTGCCCGAGGTTCCGTAAGAGTTGTAATTTTCATCAAAAGCGCTTTGTTTTCTTTTATTTTTACTTAATTAGGCTAATCAGTTTACAACTTCGTAATTATTACGCGCGGTTTAATGACTCTTGATTAAATTATTCCGTTAAAAAGAACTGCTTAGAAGAATTTTTCTTTCATAATTTCTTCGATGCTACGTGCAAGAAAATTTTGAAATTTTACTCTAGTCAAAGTATAAACTTTGTGTTTCGAATTTTTCACGTATTTCTTAATTTTAATTTCTAAAAATATGCAAAAAAAAATATAAATTTTATAATTATCTCTCTTCTTAAGTTACCTCATGAGACATAGATTGCTCGAACATAAATCTTTCGGGATTAGAGATTGAGAGGGAAAATACATATATATATCTGAATACTTATTCCTTCCATTCTCGAGTAATCTTGAATCAAAACGAGCGGACAATTGCTGTTACAGGTAAATTTTCAATTACTAGGTAGGCGATCGCGGCGTGACCGAGGACGAATTTGAAAAAGTCACGCCATCGAAGTCCCCTTACAATCTTCCAGTAACCTCGCAAATATTCAATTCCACCTTGACTCGATGACCAAGCGAGTTTGTATATTACACGCGATCGCCTTTCTTAGCCTCGCTTAAACGCACGCAAAAACGCACATTTTCGCTCGATATTGCTCCTCGTGACGAACGAAGGGATCGCGTTTACGATTTTCGACTTTTGCAACCAATTAAGAAACTTGTACATACACTTTAGAAGTCACGAGAAGGTACTTCTCGATAAGAAGCGTAACCTGGTCACCTTAATCATCTCGCATTACGCTCGGTTACGCTCGTTTAAATGATGGAAAAAATATTTTTTCAATGAACCTTGTTACGTTCTAACGAGCATTTTTTTTATATGAGATTGCTGCAACGTTCGTTCATTGATTAATCGTATTCGCTGCTCTTTACCCTCCGTGAGAGGTGAATCGAGATTTCTCGCGAGCGAGAATTTGCGCAGCTAAATTGTCGCATATTCGATTATAATAATGTCTGAATGGAGACAGAATTATGCAACACCAGAGAAAGAGAGAGAGAGAGCAGACATTCATTCATTCGAATATCAAATTTCGCGACTTTAATCTCGTTCGAATCGTCTGTTGTTTCGGGTGTCATTGAAATTACGCTGTGAAAAAATATGATCTCAAGCGCAAGGCAAGATAAATATTATTCCTATATATACATATATATATATATATATATATATATATATATATATATATATATCTTTCTCCCTTTCTATCTCCATCTCTCTCGTTACTCTACGAGAGGGAATGGGTAAAAGTTTCATTCCCCGGCGCGCATCGCGCGATCACGATATTCTCCCTCGGCCTCCGCGGCCCCGGTCTCGGGCCATTCACCCCGACTTTAGCAGAGTTAACACCCCCTTTCCTCTCGACGAGTGTTTTTTTTCCTCCATCCCGTTCTTTTTTTTCTATTCGTCGATGTCCGGTCAATCTACGAGGGATCTCGCGCGGCCTTTCCATTTTATGTAACAAATATTTCCAACATCAAACGTTACACATGGCGTGGAAACTCTGCAAATCCCGGTCATCTCTCCCCGTGTCTTCCGAATGAAATATGAAGCGCGCAAGAATGCGCGACGTCGAATGCGTCATACACTTTGTTACGCGTGTCCGTTGACCCATAAATGTAATATACGCGTCGTGTTGAAAGTAGAAATTGAATTGGGGTCTTTCGGAAACAGCTGCCTGTGCCCGGATAACCTCTTTGCTCCGACTGATCGATATTGCTCGCCATTCACGCGGACGTCCGGCGAAATGTACGCAGATCCGGCGGATCCCTCTTGTCCTTTTCGTCTCCATTACGGATGCACCCTCTACGGAGCGGCCGAGATGAATATGTATTTTCCAGCGAGCTCGCCACGCGAAAGTACTGAAATTTGTAAAGACCCGTCCAGACCAACGTGTGGCTCTGTCCCGATACCCGTTCCTATGCAACCTGTTTCCTCGCTTTCCCAGATAATAACGATCCCGCGTCCAAGAGGTTTAGTCTTGAAAATGATGAAGACGCATCTTTATGCCGAGTTGTTGTCGAGGGGGAAAAAAAAATCAACGAACGACGAAACTTTTTTTAACGCTTCCTTTTCTTCATATTTTCCAGTTTTCTCTTTCTTAATATTAATATCGACGCCCGCGGACAATGAAATTCTCTGACGCGACGGTCGCGGGAGGCGCTTCTTTTCGCGTGTGATGAATATGCATTTTATGCAAAATGCAGCCGCATTCGCCGACTTCGAAGTCGAAGAGGAAGAACTAAGGCTTCGTAGGAAGGAAAGGCCCGCCGCCTAACGATCTCGCATAAGTCGTCGCGAATGAAGGAATTATGCAGGATTATAAGAGCGTGGATTCTGATCTAATTACGCCTGTGAATTCGAATATTCGCATAACGCGAGGGTGACTGACCTCGTCTTAGGGCTCGCGAGTACAAAGAAAGATGCAACCGCGTCAGAAAAAATCAGATATGCATAGATAAAAGTGAGAGGAAGGGGAGCAATGTCCTCCCCGGGGGAACGGATGGGAGTTTTACGGTCGAGTATCGAGTATCTAAGCGCGCATGATAAAATTCAGGATCGATTCTCTCTTAATAGCGTATTACTATGCGATACTCTGCGTGGGCGACGGATTACTTGGGTCTCGCGGGATAATAATAACGCGGTAATCAACCTTCGAGAAGTTTCGCGGAATAACGACTTAATAATGCACGCGAAACGCTGTCGGAATTCGCGTGTCGAATGGATAAACGAAATTGAATTGCAACATTCACGGTCATTTTGATAAGTCACACAATGCACTGTTTGGATCAATGATATTTATCTCGGAAGAACCGTTTTTTTTTTTTTCGCGATTTATTATAATATACGAAAAATATCCGCGTTTCTTCCGCGTTAATACGATATAATTGCGCAACTTATTTGAACAAATATTGCGATAATAGTGATAACACCCCCCATGTATACATATTTTCTCGCGTTTCTGTGACGGAAGTAAAAATGGTGGATTATTCCGACAGCCGCGGAATACGCGAAACTACAGCCGAAAGCGGGAGAAAAGCGAAAAAGCGTGAAAACATGGGCTGTTATCCAACGAAAATCTAATTAATCGCTCGCGCAAACTTTTTCACACACAGTTTGAAGCCCGGAACCTTTAAAATTTTTCGACCCGATCTCCGGAACGAAAAACGGACACAAAGGTCATTCATTTGGGCATTTCACGTGACAGCAATGAAAGGAAGGCGGGGAGGGTTACCGGAAATACTCTAGTAAAACGATTACTCGAACTCTTTACAATTCAAATTTTGCTTTAGCGTTTTCAGAACAATTCTTCGTTTGTATTACACAATCGTACATGAAAGTATAAATCAATTTCGATACAAACGGGTGTTCTCGAATGGTTTTTATAGACACCTCGAGCGCAAGCCTCGAATATCGAAGAACCGATGCTATGTACATACATATCTGTACAACCTCGTTGAATAATCGATGAGAGTCGCTCGATCTTCGTTTGTCCCATTGATCGTTACCCTATTTTCCCTCAGTTATTTCGTTGCCCTTCGTTGCTACGATAATCGGCATTGAACAGATCTGGATCAGTTAGATCCGGAAAATTGCGGCCCATAAGCATATCGCACAGCCGATAATTCTTTTCTTTTCTCGCAGGTAAGATTTATCTTTATTCGGCCTGTTGAAACACTATCCCCGAAATTTATTTTCTCTACCAGCGGGTAAATTTCGAGTATTCGGATACGAGTATGTCTCCTCAAAAACTTAATATTTTCAGAAACAAATATCAGAGATATATTGTCGAATCTATCTAGCTCTATCGAGTTCTAATGTCGCAAAATTTATGGACAAGGTTGCGAGATAGATTGCACGTTTTTTTTTTTTCGAAGAAATTGACGCAGAAAGCTTCGAATCGCACGAAAGAAGAAGGGGGTTAAATCATGGAGCGATGAATAAAACCAAAGACATTAATGAGTAAACAAAGAGGATGCATAAGAATATCTCTTTTTGAAGAAAGAGTGGCATGCATTCTCGCGCTCGTAGCGCTAGTCATTAAAAGAAAAATAACATATCATACTTGATAAGATGTAGCATAAGAAACATTCAATGATCCTCGGATCGTTCGAATCTATACTTTGATGAAATCCTCGGATCATTGAAATTCTCGAATTATATATCGGATCCGCGAATTATCGAAATCGTTGTGAATCGTTTCTTCGTGCTGTTGCGCCTGCCACGATTTTTGTTGCGTGAATTCATTCTCGTCAAGCTTGAAATTACATTTCAATCACACAATTTGATACTTGTGAATCTCTTCAATAATATATACTCGATTACGTCATTTTCGTACACTGAGAAAAATAATCGGTGAAAAGGTAACGAACGGATATTATCCGATTATTAATCGATCACTTTAATCGGATATCTGATCGGAAAGTTCCGAATTTTGAACTTTTTGATCAGATATCCGATCGATTGATATTTTCTGATTGGATATCTGATCGATTTCTTTTTTTTCCGATTAAAGTGATCGGTTAATAATCGGATAATATCCGTTCGTTACCTTTTCACCGGTTATTTTTCTCAGTGTACGAAAATCTAATTCAAAACTATTGCCAAGGCATCGTCAAAATTCGAAAACGAAAAAATTAGGTGATGACCAAGACTAGAAATGAAAAGTACGAGAGATATACGACAAGCGGCAACCTGCCAACGAAAGAAAATTCACTCGAGGAGGGTCTATGAATGAAGGAACATGCGGTGTATATCTACGAGTACAATGTGTACACGCACGAGCTGTACAACTTGCGCTTGCCTTCCGTTCCTTCTTATCGGCTTTCGCGAGTCAACAGCGACAGCCGGGGGTACACTCTCCACCACGAGATATCTGTATAAGAGAGCGTCTCCATCCCTACGCCCTACGACTCATCCCATTTCCTTTCACCTTTACCGTCTGTATCGCGCACCCCAGGGGAGAGCACTGATTTATTTAAAAGACGAAGTCGATGTTGGCGCATCGCCCTCAGGAAGAGTCGCCGCTCGATTTTCGGATACATCTCCATTTTTATTTATATATATATATATATATATATATATATATAAATGAAAATGGAGATGAATATATATATATATATATAACTGTATTTATATATATATATATATATATAACTGTATTTATATATATAT